AATTTGCCTCGATTTAGCCGGATCGATTTTGAGTAGCTACTGTTTCGCTACAGGCGGATATCTTTTGTCGCGCGGTTTTGTGGGCGTACACTTCCCCCCCGGGCTAAAACGCCAAATGGTAACGACGATACGCGGAATCGAACGTGGAATGGGAAACGGGGATTCGTTTTGTGCGCACGGTTTTCGGCCGGCGCGCCGGCGAAAAAAAGAAACAATTTCCAACTCGGATCCGCCATTCTGGTAACCGGAAAACGTCCACTTCTCGTCTCTTTGTCGCGAAGCTAATTTTGGGGGTTTGCGGAAGGAAATAACGGTAAAATAAAAAAAATCTCCAAAACACTATAAAACTGATTTCCAACCAAAATAAATTCCTATCTTATCGTACGAGCGATTTTGCGACAATGTCGAGTGCGGCCACAGCTTGATTCGAGATAGCTTTGATAGCTTTGATAATTTCATAAATAATAATAATAGTTGCAGAGGAAGTTTTATGTAAAATTGATTGTAAGAATACAATTAGATCTGATGATAATTGCAAAAGTACAAACATGACATTTGTTTTTAAATATGTAGGACAAGACAATTTATTCACGTTATAATATTTTCGTGAGTGGCATGTACGCATGACGCACAACGCTATAATACGCGTACATGAGCATCAATATAACGCGAGATATTACATAAATGTACTAGCTCTTTGATTACAGCCAATAAAATAAAGTTATATTTTATTGTATTGCAAAATTTCAAGTAATATTGATGTAGAAATAATATTTTTGCTTGTTAATTTACCACGGTAAACAATTGAGAAATAAATACCTTACTGTAAAAAAAATTATTTTAAATGTCAAAAATCTTTCGATCAGTCTTAGAACACGCAAAAACTAAATAATAAAGTCTCGAATTTCTAATGTTATGTGTAAATTGATTTTCATGCGTCAATGTTAAAAATTAAATTCATCAAATTTGCAATTTTACATCGGCCTTAATCAGTTTTAATTCGCGATAGAAGTGAACGATTATCGCCGAAACGGTCGTCTGAACACAAATCGGTGCATAGATGCATCGCAGACAAAAGCAGCGCGTAAGGTCCCGCGGATCCGCGGGGCATTCGGAAGCGTAGGAGGCTTGGCGTAAGCGGTAAGCTTTACCTCATTTCTGGCAATTACAGGGGATGCCAGAATCCGCCGCAAGAATCAACCCACTCCGGCCGCGTGTGTGTACCATCCGCCTCTGTTTAGGTGAACCACCCCTTCGCGGTGCGCGTGTGCGCGCGGGCTCGCGCGTCCTGTGAACGTCTCTTACACACACTTAATCGTACACTTATACGTACGCGGGAACACGCGCACCACACAAGAATCTCCTCGTGACGCTCACACGTACACACTTTGGTGGGGGACGAGACGCGCGTACGACGTCATGGGAGCCCGTCCGCCTTCCTCAACCCCTGCGGCTACCCCGTCCAAGAGAGAGGGTTACTCGTAAAACCCGTCGATTGAGCACCACTGATCTCGCCATGTTCCCGGATCCCTGCCGCGATTGGTCGCAAATCCGACAAACGGCATCGCCGATTCGTCGATCGAAGCCACGCCTTCGCGCGCCTGGCCCACCCCTCTTTCACTGGCGAGTAGTCTTCGGGAGTAGTTGTGTACAGCTGCAACAAAGGCCACCCCGGTAGACGACGGCCGGCTAGTCCTCGTTGACACGACGCACGCTCAAGAGCTTCGACCTTAACGGGAAAGATTTCACCTAGCCATCTGTCGGTGCCTACGAAAGTGAATGAGCAAGGATAAAGTCGGAGGTTTCGTTCGACTTTAGAGAGAGATTGGAGGATACGTTTCCTCCCGCAATCGCTTTCACTTTTCCTGGGCCAAGTAGGTAATTATGGTGAATACAGATCATTCAAGAATCGTTAAAAGCTTTGGATTTTGGACGATCTAGTGTTGGTAAACAATAGCAAAAAGGACGTATAACTCTTAAGACTATAATTAAAACAGATGTTGAATATTTGAAAAAATTTTGATCAAGTAATCCAGCTTTTATCGTTCTCTGAATGATTATTGGAAGAAACATGTCAGTTTTGTGTCGACCGAAAAAATGTTAATAAGAGTGCCATAATCTGTATCATGATTTGTGAAGAGGTGGGAAGTGATTATGGAAATTCACTATGAAATTTAGTTCTGTACATTGAATGGATTTCATAAGAGAGCAAACATTGGATGGAAGTGGATACATCTAATATCCAACTTAAACTTGCGATTATTTAAATCGATGACATGATCGATTGACATAAATTAAATCCTCGCATAATTTCACAGTAACAAAGATTTTAGACATTTTAAATCAAAGGCACAAGCTATTATTTAGGTTTTATAAACATTGCTCTGGAACTGATGAACTTCTCAAGCAGTGCGTGATGTTGTTCGAAATGCACTTCACAGTGAAAGACACGTGTGTCAAAGAGTTTTGTCGCGCGATCATCGAGCTTTAGTGCATCTGCAGAGTCATTTTTGCAAAATCTCGTGATCCAATTCGAAGCAGTCTCCGGGAAGAGTCCTCCGAAAACGAGTTTCCGACAATGGATTCTCAGCAGCTCGTCGACACGGCCTCGCAGAACAGTCAAGACATTGTTTTACCAAAACCCGCTAGCAGTACACCGCGACATAGCATTGATGCGATTCTTGGATTGGCTAGCCATAAAAGGACTCATCAGGAAATGGAAGACACAAGTCGCGACACGCAGGAAAATACGGGTATTAATTTATTCTCAATATAATCTTACTGATACTAGAAATGATACTAGAAAAGATTATTTTTATATTATTTCTCTCAAAAATATTTTTTTAACATCGTACCTTTACGAAGAAATCAAAATTAAAGATCTATATATATAAATGTTTATCTTCTTCCATGGAAATTTAAAAATAATAATTTCTGCGCCTCTGTTGTCTTGATGTTTGAACCCTTGCAAATAGTTTATCGAATATTTTTAAGTTGAAACATTAGACATATCGAGTCTTTGTGACTTGTCACAATTGAAAACAAAACTAGCATGGTTTATATGATTGTATAGATCGCTCAGCTGATTTAATAACAAAAACAAGAACACAGCTTTCTTCACAGCAATTTCCGAAACCAACGTGATGGAAATTTATAAAAGATTTCGTCGCTTTCTCGGACCGTCGGACTGATTTATGCAGAAGTTATTTCTCATATTAAATTCATCTGTTTTCTTATTCATGTGAGATAATTTCTAAATTACAAAACAACTAAACTAAAACCCATTGCTTTCGAAATCAGTTTCAACTGCCCGTCTTATCTAATTGCTTTCTAATATCGATATCTGTCTATTAGTCGTTACAACACAGAATTATTTTTCGTTTTATTGTATTAATTAAAATTTTGATACATACTTAATTTGGTCATTTATTTAGTCACTCGCTTATTAGTCATTAATTTAGTCATTAGTATTTAATCTCTTTTAAATTGATCTTAGCAAATTGCTCGATTTTGGGCGCGTTTAAGAATAAATATTTCAACATGACAGTTCGGTTGGATGTATTTGAATATAAATTTGTAGTATCACTGCCCCAAAGCAAAAAATCAATAGCGCGCTAATAGTATAATTGATAGAAAACCTAATGAAATTTCGACCGACGGCCACATATAGTTTATCACGGGGTCCGATCATTTTTTCGCATTTACGGTCTAATTCGATTAACAGACTAAACCGTTCCACTGTCCGTCTGTTGAATCTTGCATCCTGCCGGGCAGACACGTTCAAGCGCCGTGAATTCGCTTTGCTATCCTGTCTGACAGTTGCGTTACGGCCAGTAATGCAGTTTGATTGAGTTTCGATTAATTATCGCTGGGGTCACGTTTGATCGATGTACATCTTCATTTCGAGAATTCAAAATTCAAGAAAAATAATCGAGAAATAACGTAACAATAACAAGAGAATGACAATTTGGACGCTCAAATAAGCGGCGCAATACGATAATTGTTGAATAATAAAATTAGTCGTTATTAATTATTAATTTATTATAAAGCAAATGAAAATTGAATAATTATTAGAATATTAATGTGAAGCAAAAGTTGCTAATCTTTAACGTTGAAAAATGATTGCGCTGCTTTATTCAAGCACACTTGTGTACCACTTTATCTCGTATATAAAACTAGAAGAATATTTCATTACAGATTTTTACAGTCTTTCTTCATTGTGAGCTTATTTTCTAACAAATACGAGAACAAAAAAATAATATTAACTGTTACGAGTTATTTATTCTCTCAAGCCGAAATAAAACAAAGATTTTATTGTGACACTTATGCATGTACAGTTTACGATTAACGAAAGTTGTAATCCAATGAAATAACATGTAATAACACAGATAGATATATGTAGATCTAGATAATAATTATGCTTGCGTCGCGTGATTTTCCACCGTCCTGATGAAATCAATCCACTGCATACTGCTTTTCCACCTTTTCACGAGACATTTATGCGCCGCACTATTTAATTCACGTTGTATTTTTCATGACTGATGAAGATTTATTTTAACAACGCGACCGGTGCTTCATTTTTATTACATCGAAATAATCTGTGTATATACCACTTCATCATACATCGACACATTGTCGAAAACAACTGACCATAGATAATTAATCATCGCGATCAATGATTAATTCGCGTAAATCCGATCCGATGATAAATTTAGTAAAATTCTATATATTTTGTCGTTATTATTTTATTTAATAAGAATTACATCTTACAAAAAGTGACAAAGAGAAAGGCCCAAGGACAATGTATATTATTTTTATTAAATAATTGAATTAAATATTAGAATAAATTATATAAATTATATAAATACGTTTGCACTTTTAAATTACAGTGATTCTTTTTTTATGCAATTCTACTTTCCCAACGACACAATACTGATAAAATTAGAGTTAAAAAAAGATTAAAGTGTTGAAATTGAAATTGAAATCAACGTTAATAAGCCTAACAATTTTGAAATAAAAATTATAATTATCTCGACTTTGTTAAAATTTACAAGACTGTGGATAAAATATTAACTAAAGGTATACACGGATCTTGGCGTCAATTTTCTGCGCGGAACTGATCCCACATCTATCGTGCACGTGTGACGCCATATTTCACGCCACACGGGAGACGTTTGGCATGGAAGTCTCGTCGGTAGCGTTAGCGTATAATTGGAAAATCGTTAGTATCGCGACGATCTCTCTCTCGTTCTCCAAACTAAGCGGACACGCTAATTCAGCGTCGAAACCGAATCGCGCGATCGAACCGACCCGAGCGGGTCGGTTTATAGGGGGTAGAACATGCCCCGTTCGATGAAACATATATCCGATAATTCCTGTTTCGAGACACTTTCGTCTCGGCTCGCCTACGCTGCCCGCGAACTGTCGTTTGTGTCATTCTGAAAGTCGTGTACATATACACACACACATACATACACACACACATCATACACACACACACACACACACACACACACACACATGCACGACGGGGCGAAGAGCGCGAGTTATCGACGCAACACTTTCGGCGGAAGGGCGGAATTGACAAAACAATTTTGTGCCGGCGCTACCATTATTGGTCGGTACGCGGGCGAAAAAAACAGGGGCAAACAGTTATCGAATATTAGCGCCGTAAATGATATAAATTAGCATTATTGCGGACGCGTCACATTCCTGTCTCCGCAGCCTGCAAAAGCATGCAGATCGATTCGTTGCATTATTTAATTTTCAACAAAACGTTACATTTTTTCCTCACAATAGATGTCTTAATTTATGACAAATTCTTAATTCTATAAAATATAATGAGGATGATAAACGTAATACAGCGTTAGTAATAAAAAATTTTAAAGTTTCTGGAGCATACATTTTTATCATTAAAAAAGAATTTTTATTGAATTCCACAAATCAAATAACTCGTAATCGCAAATAAAAGCCTCGATAGAAAGAAATTAAATCGAATTGAAAAATAAAGTGCATATAAAATCATCCTTATCTGATTCTAAACTATAACAAGCCTGAATAAGTCTGTCAAGCTTAATATATTCGACATAGGATTAATTGTCGGCGTTTATGCCCGAGGATTTACGTTGATCGTTTTCGAAGGAAATTATGGAGAGGCCAGGAGGACCAACCGCGAAAGAAATGTGCTAAGAAAAAGACGGAGGCTGCTTTGCCGAGACCCAATCTTGTCCCGCTAATCGAATTATCATTAATTATGATACTGTACGCGCGAGCAGAAAGAAGAGGTAAAAGTCGAGGACCAGCCGCCACTAATAAGTATGAAGAGCAGGGGAACGACGAGCATGAGGAAGACAGAAAAAGAGAGAAAAATAGGGAAGAGAAGAGATAGGTGGAAGCGGCTTTAAGTTGCTTCTTAAGAGATGAATTGACGTGCCTACTAATGGATCGTGCCTGCCTCGTCTTCTTTCCTCTTCGTGCTTCTTCTTGTCCTCCTTCCTCTTCTTCTTCTTCTTCTTCTTCTTCTTCTTTCTCTTCTTCTTTTTCTTCTATCATTCTTGTAGTTTTAACACGGGACTAACAGGTCTGTTATCCTCAGCGGGAATCGGTCGTCTACCGTGCTGCTGCGATTGATCGAAATTAACTCGCTGGAATGACGAATGACCGTTGTCGCGACATGCGCGCGAACGCGATACATGTTATTTGTACACGTGTCACCGTATTACAGTGAGTTTGGTACTTATCAGGCTCCCGTTTTAGCTCCCGGGCTCTTAAAATAAAATCAAATCGCATTGAAAATAAATTGTCATCGAAATTAGAGAGTAAATTGTTCGGAGATCGGTGAACCAATCAATTTAATCAATGCGAGGTGATTTGTGGTTAGCACATTATTTCCATACACGTTGTACGATTCATAACTATATTTTTATATCTAATTTATGCCATAATAATCAATATATAAATTATTTTTTAAAACATTGCCTTTTTTAGAGACTCGATAATGTAAATTTTTCTGACAAAACTTGAAACTGTCGTACTGAGTAAATAAATATTCTCATAACATGTATTTTTATTCGTTTTAAATAAATAACATTTTATGTACATTTTTATCAGCTATATACTATTTTCATATATATTATTGTTCTTAAAATAAAGCTGAACAAAATATTTATTTCGATACGGTCTGTTAATCAAATATTACTGCCACGCGCGTAAAATAGTTCTTTTCTTTTTATTTATATATCGGAATGGCTCACTGTTCAGAAATAATTCTTCGCTTTTACGTATAATTTATCGTAATCATTAATATTACGGTAGTAATATTGGAAAAAATATATTGCAACTTGCGCTTATTGCTTTGACCGATGAAAAGGATAGAAAGTGTAAGATGGATAATGGCGGGATAAGCCGATTAAATAACGTATTAGTCGAATAAAATGTGAAATCGCTTTCAATGCGAGATCAGTCCCGCAACATATATGAACAGCGACTTTAACACACTCCGAATTAATTCTTCGTCGTGTTACGAGTTTCCCAACGATTATCTAATTCCTTTTAACGCCGTGCTAATATCGTTAACTTTCCGCTTCATAATTTCATCATCTGCCTCGCAAGTTTCACAATTATTCCGTCTAATTCAATTCCCGATACCAAGTCATCTTTCCGAGAACGAAACTATAATTAATCGTGCGCGCGACTGATAATATCCATGCTAATTACGATAAACTAGCACGACAAATTATCTACAACGATCTCG